AGGGGAGAGCTGGGATTTAAACCATGTCCATCTTAACCATTTCACGAAACTGTTTCTCTACTTTTTTCTTTTAACTAATTTGACACATTTTTGGAAAAGTTTCAAGAGCAGCACAATTATCATATGCTGTTCACTCAGAGGAGCCACATGTTCTCATTTTCTTACCTTGTCTTCCCTTCCTCTTTCTCTCCAAATGTACTCCTTCTAGCTGTGAACGCTAAGACTATCGAGAAGCAAGAAACCCCCAGTGGCAGCGGACACATGTAGGACCCACATCTTGGTTTCTAAATGCCATTCTCTCCTGAAACATACTAGGACCTCTTGAAAAAAGAGAGGATTTCTAGACTGGGGTAATGAAGTACAAGATCATTGGAAAGTCTTCTTGTTGCAGGAAGGAAGGGCAGCTTCAAAAATGCTGAGAACATGCCACGAAAACATAGGAACCTATTCATAAAGGCTCCCATTAGCCAAATCTGGACAACTTCAACATGAAAATAAGTAATAGTGGAAGATTAGAACCCACTAGAAAACGCACATCCAAAGCACTCATACTGATACAGATTAATTAAGAAGAGGAAAAAAATCTTCCTGGCAGAATCCCAACTAATAAAATTTGAAAAATGACTATTGGGCAACCATATCGGAATATCAAATTTAATTTTTTAGTTTTCATTCCAGTAGGTAGCATGAAAACTAACATGCTTAGACCTCTGGGTAGATGGGCAAATGGTATTTTTAGTTGATCTGGTGAATTTCCTTCAAAATGTTTTTATGAAACATGTTTTTATGAAGAGATATGCTTCATTTTCTGTGCCTTAAAAGCAGAAACACAAGTTCTGACATTTTTGTGTTCTATGTCAAGTTCTGTCAACTAGGTATATTTTAAATGTTTCAATCTTCATGAAAACGCTTGTACACAAGGCATATTAGCCTACATTTACTAGCTGAGCTTTAGAGAGTTAATGAAATTCTTCATGCCACACAGCTGGGAAATGGTTTCTTTAGTATGGAAATCCAGATGAGGCTACTAATTCTAAAATCCACAATGTCCTGGTTAGGCCAGCATGGAGCTACAGTGTTTCATTAGAGCAGAGGAATATGGAGGATTTGGGGTTGAAAGTCAACCAAGCAATGCAAAATTTCTTACACTTTCAAGGCTCCCATGATTCTTGTATTTTCTGTAGGGTGCGCCCTCATCCCCCCTCATTACTCTACTCTGACAGCACTTCCTCCAGTGTTGGGAGGGGGTTCTGTTCCTTGGCTCGAAAACAGTGTGAGGAGGATGGCTGGAAGATGCACATCCCGGGCTCCTGGAGGACGCAGAGGCAGGATGATGTCCTCACTCTGACGTGTGCAGGAGGAATGAGGCAGGGGTTGGAGAAACATTCCAACGCTCTCTGATTTGGAGTTGATGCAGTTGCCTGTGCTACATTCTCCCACTGCCCCAGATGCCAGAGGTTCTACGAGCCTGGGAAACGGTTTTCCCACAAAGCACTTCCTACTTCCCAGAGGGGTCCTGACACAGAAACCAAGCAAGTCCCTTGGTCTCAACTCTCCCTTCCCCTCCTCCCCCTCCTTTCCTTCTCCTGTTTCTTCCGTCTCACTTACTCAAAAATATTATTTGAACCTCACGAAGGTTAAATGGACTGCATCCCCAAACATATCACTGGAAACTGATTTCCTTGAAACATTCAGGGGATTCCATTCAAGCTAAATAACCGAGCCTTCTTGGAGGCAGAAGAGGGGCTGGAGAATATATGACAAGCTGCATGCATGGCAGAGCGTATGTTATTGATGATGAGCGCAGTGGTTCTGAGCTACTGAGCATTTACCCTGTAACAAGCATTGCACGGCCCGATGACGTACAGGAACTCAGAGAGGAGATTTTACACCCGGCATGAGTACTAGTCCAGCCACGTATCAATGGTATGGCCTGGGGAAACTGCCTGGCTTCATTGCTCATCATAGGTGGTTGTTGCAAACATTACCGAGAAGAACAAAGTAAAGAGAAAGGTTCAGTGGGTTCCTGTTAGGAGCTGTAAGCTCGGCATCATGGGCACAGTGGCAAATCCTGTGTCCCTTCTGCCATTGCACCTTACATTCTGTTTTTAAAAATTAATTTTATCAGTACATTTTAGGTGTACAATATAATCACCTTCATCATTGGAAATTTGCACCTTTGCATAATCTCTCTTGGTTCTTATTTTTCCCCCTTCCCCTGCCCTCCCTTCAACCCCTCCACCCCTCCCTATTTACAAAGACCTTGCTTTCGGTTTTTCATTGGCTCATATTAATTCCATTCCCTTCTTTCCTTTCCCCTACCCCTCCCACTTCCCCTTCCCCTTTGCCCCTTTTCTTCCTAGTTCACATTATCTATTATACCTTTTAGTCCTTATTTACACTTTCAGGTTCTCACACTAGAGAAACTATTTGGTATTT